CACTGGCTACGCATGCCGCGTCGAACATGCAGTCAGCAAGGAATTCAGATGGGAGGAGCATTTAGATCTCATCTCTCACGCTGTTCTGACTATGTCAAGCGGGTTCAAGCTTCAGTACCTTGCTCTTCTGGTGGAAACGGACACTAAAGATCCTACCAGAGGACATTAGCTCGAAGACAATCTTGGAACGCAATGTTGAACCCCGTATCGCCGCTTTTCTTCAGCATAGCTTTGACAACTTCAGCTAGTTTCATACCGCTGCCGGCTTCTATCCATCTCACCGAACCTGGTCTCGCTGTCGGGAATGTCTCTCTGAACGCAGATGTACCAGATCCACGCTTCAGCATAACTCCCATATTTGAAGTCCCGCTTCTCCCAACCGACCCTTGCCTTATGACTTTCTTGTACTTTATGAGTGAGATCGCCTATGGAGACTTCACCCAGCGACAACCACCCAAGACGTACAGAGTTCCCGGCTACGATGAAGTCGAGATCGTAACCGGGACTGCTATGACCGCGCGATTCCTTATCTGGGGCGCGTGGCTGGCGATGGAGTACATGATTAACAACAGTCTATTCCGTAATGCGCTCTGGACACTCAGGTGGCAACAGACTATACTTGGCACCATCAAGATCCAGGCATCCACACCTCGCCTCAGTCTTCCAGGTAGCAGCAATGTTCAGCGATTCGGCACAACACCATCCACCGAGAACGGTACGACGAACCCCGGAGCAACCATCGGCGATCCGAACATCTCCAACAACTCCCTCGACGCGCGGTTCGTCGTGTCCATCGACTCCTTCGCCGACGGCAAACCTCTCACCAAGTACGAAGGCTTCATGGTCTGCTACACCGGACTCTTATACTGCGCCCAGCAACCTACGACGGCGCCGATACGGTCGTTCGACACCCGGTCGCCCATCGGCGACGTGTCGCTCCACATGTACCCATTCGGACCGGGTCTGACATACGCGTACATCATCCGGACCTTGACGCACATCCCGCTCTATCTGCTACGGGACCCCCGCGGCTTCCGCGAGGTCAATTTCGAGCTGGGGCTTGACGGCGCGGTCTGTGCGAGAGGGGCCATCACCAAAGGACGGGTGTGAGAAAGGCAGGGGGGGAAGCTGCTGCACGAGCTGTGGGAATGACGCGCCGTGGGCGAATATGGACGGCGGAGATTGGCATGCTGTTGGGCATCCGTCAGGTCCGTTTTTTCCGTAGTTCTTCTTGGGAAGATGCACATGCCGTGTACAGGTGCGTACCGCGCTCGGAAGCGTGAATTGGAATTTAAATAAGGGCGTGGGCGTCAGACCGAGAACTTGATGCCCGACAATTCAATCTGCTCCCTGGAATCGAAAATGTATAGAGCTCTTGATGTAGTATGCTTCCAGAGCACTTGAAGTAGGGAAGAGACCCTGGATTGTATATTCGAAAGGCAGGGACAGCGTTCATACAGGGTCAGAGGTGCGATGAGTTAGGGCAAGATTACGATTTGAGGTGGATAAGAGAAGATGGGATGGGGAAAGACTTGCGACGTCAAATCATTACCGCTGAGACGAAAAAATAAGTCGATTCGTGGTCAAAGTATTCCATTACTCCGTGTTACAATATCCTATCCTATCTTGCCAAAGCCCTTCCATATCCCTCTTCACCAAAACCCTGCCATCATGACTCCTTCCCTCCCCTTACGACCTTTCCTTCCTACTCGATATCGACCTTCTTGACATCCACAAACTCTTCCGTCTTCGGGATCGTAACCAACAACACCCCATCCTCCATCTTCGCGGAAATGGAATCCGCATCCACGTTCGCAGGGTTGGCTTTACTGCCCAGCTTCACTTTTCGGTCAAAGACCCCCACTTTTCGCTCATCCAGCGCCAAGGTCTTGAGGAATTCTTCGTCGCCAGGGCGGTAGATGACGCCGGCGACGTTGAGTTCGCTCTTGTCGGCGTCCCAGTTCACGCCCACGTCTTCTTTCTTGGCGCCGGGGAGCGAGATGTGCACGACGTAGGCGTCGGGGGTGTCGAAGATGTCAGCGGGAGGGGTAAAATCTTTGTTGTTGGTGGTTGCCGCTTCCTTGCTGGTGGTGGCGGTATTGTCTCTGGGGGCGATGTTGGAGAGCACGTCCTCGGGCACGAATTGCGAAATGAAATCTGCTAGTTTGCTCATGTCGAAGTTGCCGCCGGCGGCCCAGGGGTTAGAGCCACGTTCGCCACCGCAGCGTCCGCCGCGACCACCCCAGCCTCCACGACCGCGTCCACCCCAGCCGCCACGACGTTCGTGGCCGTGTGGTCCACCGTGATGTCCATGATGTCCTCCGTGATGAGGACCGCCGCGGCGTCCGCCAAAGGGGAAGCCGGGACCGAAGGGGTGGTCATGGGGACCCGGTGGCGGAGGAGAAGGAGGATCTTCGTGCTCTGGGGGAGGTGGTCCCGAGTGATGGGGTGGTGGCGGTCCCTCGTGGTGCGGCGGTGGACCATCATGGTGGTCTGAGGCACCAGGCCAGCCGTACTCGGGAGGCGGACCGCGAGGTTGTCGAGACTCGGGGTTGTAGGCGTTGGAGAAGGGGTGGTTGGCGTTGGAGCCGTCGAGGCCGGCGATGAAGTCCCAGAAGGGGTTCTGTTCGTTGAGGAAGCGGACTGATGACATGTTTGCTATGATTATAGAGTATGAAAGTAGATGGAGTGTGTGGGATTTAGGTGAGAGAGATGAAAGTGGATACTGATGAATGGTAGGAAAGGAAGAGAAAGGAAGAGCTCTCAAGCCACATTATATGCTTGCTGGAAAGCCACAGGCAGAGATGACATACGTAAACATACGCATGCACACAGCCAACAAATCCGCAAATGGAGGGGTCGAGAAGCGTGGAGAAGCTTGTGGAAAGGACGAGTTTCCCTAGGATGGGCCTACGGCGGGGAAACAAACATCAGGCTCCAGGAATGACGCGTCAGGGAAAAGAGTGACATGATACCCAGTCACACATGGGAAGGGTCCAAAAGGGCCGTTTTCATGATTGCCTGGAGTGACTTGGACGTTGGTGGCAAAATATCCAATGCTTTCTTCTATGCATGTTTTGGAAAGGCCGAGAAAGTGATGGAGCAGAGGAGGCAAAAGATGTTATCGTGCGTGCCCTAGTCAGAAATTAGTCATCCAGGTCATCTCCGCTCTCATTGGTCAGAGTCAAGTACGAGAGTATCTCGATTGAGGTTTTGAACCCGGCTGACTTTGAAATCTGTGGTGGATAACACATTTTGAAATGTGTTAACGAACAGAACGGAGTTCAATGTTCGCCATTCCAAAACCTCGTTTTGGTTTAGCGCTTCAAAAACATCTGACTCATAACATACCTCAACATTGAGAAATGTCTTTCGAGAAAGTAAGATGCTTACTTTTGACGGTGTTGATGTGTTGATGTGTTGACACAGCTACCACATCCTCAGCTTTGGATGTTCATTGCTCAAAATATGGACCCAGGGAGCAAACCGGATGAGCACAACAGGCAGCTTGCTGACCTTTCAACATCCTACAACGAAGGCCGATGTAAACAGTCCATAGCCGAGTTTCCATGTCAGCCGATTGACAGATCCCGGAGAGATTGCTTAAGGCTTGGGAATGTCTGAACGATTGGAAAAAGCACGACGGCCGTGTACTAACTTTCAGTGCAAGAAACAGAGAAAGAGCAGGAAATCTCCCGGCACTTCCTTTGCCAAACCCCGCATTACTTTCGAGCAACGGGACTTTTGAGTTTGCTTCGCTTCTATCGAAACTCCATAAGAACTCTGCATTCACTCAGCTACCACCGTTGCGCTTGTGGTGTACTCGCAGCTCTTGATAGAGTCAGATGGACACTAACGCCTGAGCCTTTCATTGGCTCAACTCCCTCCTAGGCATCCCCACACTTTTGGCAAAACCGCTTGACCTCCACGCAACAGCAACAAACATTATTCACTGTGTCTTTGTTACCAAGTCATCGGTGATTCTTTTCCCATGCCTTTGATCTTTGTAACACATCTAAACCCTTAGATCCGCACCTAAGATCGACTATTTCAGCTAAGATCTATCCTCTCATGGTATGCCCTGAATTATCAATAACTTTTGTCTCCGTATTCAATACTTGGCACAAGACCTGGGCTTATTAAATAGCAGCTTTGGCTCAAAATCTGTTCTTCGGTACTAAAGCGATCAGACAACAACCTAGATTTCAGCGTCGCTCTAAATGCAACTCTTTCTTGGCTCTCAAAGGCTCCCCTAAACCGTCAAGAGTGCTCTCGCTATCTCCTCACTTCCCGTGCCGAGCTCGGACTACGACTTGTATATCATGCATCCATTCGAGTGGCTGCTTACTTGTAGCGTGATCGACAATCTTAGCGGACTGTTTGCCTGAGTTGCACCTACCTGGAGACTGTTTCTCTGATTACCTACCGCGTGATGGCTCGACGGCGGACTTGTTTGTCATTGTCCGGCTTATGACAACCACGTATTGAGTGAGCTTCGAGAAATTAAACGTCTTTCAAACGTGCTTGAACAAGGCGGATGGCCAGGAATTGTTGTTTTAGAACGTGGGATCCTTGGGAAGATGGTCGTTATCAAAGGCTTTGTTGAGAAAGTATAGACGGATTGAGAGGTAAGAAGTCTAAAGTTGGTATTCAACCGCGCTTCTCTCTCTATCAGCCTGCTTATCAGTGTGTCAAGGTTTCAAGCCCCAGCGTAATTTACCATCCAACGGCAACCCCCTTGTCCTTGATTATATCGAAGCCTTACCGGTAAGAATCTTAAAGCCACATCCAATCACGCTTTTCCCTCCTGTTTTTTGTCACAGTTCGAAGGATGAACGAACCCGGATGTTCTATCTGCTGTAGGCTGCTTAATTCTTTCTTACAAGACCCGAGCTTGTTCAATTTACCGCGAATCTCCGCTGATGATAGACAGCTTAGTAACTTTACTCAACACAGCAACTCCACACATTTTTTCTACAACACAGATTCCAAGACACATCATGGCCTTGCCTATATATACCATCTCCAAATCTTGTGCCTTACCATTCACCACCCTTAAATATATACGAGATCGTCCTCAAGAGCTTGTCCCAGGTCCTGATTATCCTTGTCTAGCAAAGGTGTCGGAGCCAGCACTGCAAATCACCTTCAGCAGAGAGCCAAAGAACCCCGAATTGGGCTATCTTCTAGGCAGCGACCGTGAGCTATGCGACATACTCTTGGGCTGTCCAGACGACTCCATTAGCCACCTGATGTTCGCAATATCTTTCAATCAATACAACGAGGTTCTTTCGCGAATGTAGCAAGTGTTTCGAACTCACGGGCCAGGCATTGAGAATCATCCATCTTCAACAAACGAACGAACGAACGAACGAACGAACGAACGGATCCATCCCCAACCGCACAGCCTACCAGCCACCGGAGCGCGGCCGAGATCAAGATGTCGATCGTGGGCCATCATAGGGAAACAAACCCATGGAAACTCTCGGCCACGATCACTCATCCGTTCGATCCCATCCTCATCGCAAACTCCAGCAAAGGCGATCAATGCGCAGCAGAGACATGGGAGTCCAATAGATGCAACGGCTCGATGGCGAAAGATCAGCTCACTCCAGGAGCCCCACGTCGAAGTGTTGGAAATGTATGAAGGATTGATTGATTATCTATGGGAGTGCTGAGTGGGCTACTTAGACTCTATTTGCCACCATGCGGGATAGCTACAACACAGGTGCTGCAGCAGATCTCAACACACCCCCATGATGCAGCACCATACTCTACAGTGCATCAGCATACACCTGAGGCCGTCGTCGGTAGCGATATCGACCTTCCCAATATGGACAAAATTCGAAACATACTTTTCAGTGGAGATACCGGAGACACCGGAGATGTGGGAGACAATAATGTGGGCGCAGAAGGATTCGACGAAGAAGACGTTGAAGAAATACCTCGAAATAGCCCTGACCCACACCCTGATCCATGTACCGATGCAACCTACACTTCGCGACCAAAGACTCCAATTCCTTCTCAGAAAGTACTCCTAAATGACAAATGGAGTGACACCAAAGTGTGGGCTCAGAGGGCTATTGCACATACCAAATGTGATAAGACTCTGGAGGCTGAACGCCTATATTGTAGGCAAGCTACACTCAGTCATGAGGACCCTAACCATCATCTACTACGCAGTTGTCGTCATTATAATTAACAGATTCCAAGAGACCGGGATCACAAAACAATACCCAAGACACCGAGGTATTATCCAAGTCAGCTCGAAAACACAGAGCATACAAATCAGCTCGAAAACACAGAGCAAATATCCACGAAAGACAGTGGGATACCAAGTCAGCTCGAAATCACAGAGCATCAGTCACAATGTCCACGGAAGACAGTGGAACGATACGTCAAATCGAACACCTTACCGGAGAGAATTTTGGTTCATGGTTTGTCAATATTCGAGCCGAGCTTCGTTCAAAGAACCTATGGAAATCCACTCACGGAGAGTACGAGTCTGAAGACTCTACAGTCACTGTGGCCAGTACAGATACGGAGACATCTCCACCGATCACTAAGAAACAAGAGAAGGCAATGAAGGATTGATTGATTATCTATGGGAGTGCTGAGTGGGCTACTTAGACCCCTATTTGCCACCATGCGGGATAGCTACAACACAGATGCTGCAGCAGATCTCAACACGAAGAGATGTACACGTCCCTGACACGATACCTAGCTCATTAGAGCACCATCTGTCTCAAAACCAGTTGTCCCAGGTTTTCCCCCTTGATTTATACGGGGACAACATGTTCCTGACCACAACCAGCGACAGGTTGCAGCTGATATCCTCGCATGCATGGCAGGAGAGCTCCGAAATGAGGGGGAGGAGCGGGCACCGGGGCAAACATCGTGCAAGAGAGAGAGAGAGAGAGAGAGAGACAGAGAATGGAACGCTGGCGACGAAGACGATATCCCACATTTAATCAATCGTAATCTACAGATAGTCCGAAAGAACCAACCCACAATCCACCCTTATTCATCTAATCGAACACCATCTCCGAATCAAACTTCCCCCCCAAAAACACCAATCCCGAAACTTCCCACGCAGTTCGGACAAATGTCCGTAGAACAGCCTCTGCCTTTGCCCTCCCGATCAAAAGGCGCACTTCCCCAGCCTGACAGATTTCCCCCTCCAAAAGGCGCAGTCGCAGTCTCTACAACCACCGCGCTCAATCTTTGCCAGGCTCTGGAGTGCTCGGCCCATCCGGAGCTACTCTTGCCGGAACCTCATCTTCGTATCTGCGAACGTGCTCTGGGGCACTACATGAACGATGTCGAGCATTGAAGGATGCGAAGATTAACTTCACGGTATCGAGACTCAAGGTTCACTCTACTCCCGCAGCCCGGTAATGAGGAAAAGTAAAAAAGCGAGAATTTTGTGGGATCACAAAGTGGACAGGGAGCGCCGCAGTCCCGGGCTTCAAGTATGTTTTTGCATTGGATGAATGCTATGGATTCAAGTGCAGTAGCCATTTGTATTAGTGAGTATACAGTCTCACTGCTCGGAAAGGGTCCAATAAAAATCCCTCCTCAACCTGCTTTCCGCTATTGGCGTCCCTCTGCCCTAGTCTGCATCCTCGTCTTCACAACGTTTCCCTTCTCAAATGGCTGCTTCCACTACACCATTTCAGAGTCAGCATTCTCTCGTAGGACGGATCCTTGGGTCTAGTGGTGTGTTGAAGGAGCAAAACGTGTGTTTTGACTCCACCTCCACAAACATGTCTTGAGATTCGGGCAAGGGTATGAAGGGAAGAAAATAACTCAGAAAGGGTGCTTACAAATCCCTCCTCCTTCCCTAGCCACTCCTCTCCCTCTCCTCCCTCCTCCTCGCTCTCGTCCTCCATCTCCTCCGGTGAGTCCACGTACTCTCCGCTTCTACAATCCGACTTCTTTCTGTCAATTCCTCCCTTTACCTCGTCAACCTTCTTTGTGGTTCCTGGGACTAGAACGTGGCCAACAGGCCTCATGGTACTCTTCTTATTAGCCGCTGCAATCTCAGCCGCAATGCAGAAAATTTTGCCGCTCCTAGTCCTGACGATGCGGCGCATTGGATCATCGCTACGAAAGATGTCAATGCTGGTCGGTATCGGAGGTGCGAGTTGAGGGGGTTTAGGTCCGGAAGATTTGGGGCTGGTAAAAAATCTGAAGTCAAGAGATGGATGTATGGGAAGAGTGGCCAGACTAGGATCTGGGAGCGGATCTTGCGGAATTGGGGGTGACGGAAGGGCCGGCGCAGGTTGTGGAGCTAGGAGCGACAGATATGGATCTCCCGTGTCGAAGTCAGGTGAGATGCGGGCGGAGGCGGAGGCGGAGGGTGGTCTGGAAGATCGACCGGACTGGGCTTCGGTTTGGAGAACCAGCGGCGAGAGCTGTGCTTGTGGCTTGGTGGGCGAGATGCTTGCGGCTGCGGGAGCTGAGGGCTGCTGGTTCCGCTCTATACGTGTTGACTTTGCGGGTGTATGGGGAGCAAGCCTTGGTATTGACGGTCTATTAGGGCGAGGAGTAGTAAGAGAGGTTGGTGCCAGGGATTTGTCCTTGATCTTTTCGCTCGATGATGATTGGCCGGTAGGAGGAATGTCAGTCTGAAGGGGTAGTGTAATAGGTCTCTCGTGGTGAGGGCTAGGGTCCAAAGGTATCGTAAATGCCCGCTCTTCTTGTATACCAGGTGCAGGTTCTTTGGGAGGAAGAACAGCGAAGCGGTTATCTAGAAATACCACAATTGTCAGTCGCGCCATCCTTGAGAGCTATAATGGCATCAGAATGTCAAAGTCTGCACTCACTGCTCAACAACCCCGCCGTGACCTCTCTCTCCTCAGACTTGCTCTCCATGTCACCACTACTTCTGGTTCCTTCAGCAGTAACAGATCCACGGGCTCCTCGTCGCAATCGGGTACGACGGGCATAAACCCCGCGCTGGGCGCTGGCGGCTGTGGGGGATGCGTGCATGACAGGGTATCAGTTTGCTTGTATATTTCTGCTGGGATAATGAATGTTCGTCGAAGGGCAAATAAGAGAGGCGAGAGAAACATTAGGAAAGGGAAAGACGGAGCATTAGCATTGCTTGAGCATGAAGAGTAGGTATAGAGTAGGCCCTGTGCTAGTGAAAGATGATTGGTCGAAGAAAGGGGGGAGATGCTAGTCAAAGATGAATGAGGAAAGAGTGAGCAGCATTTTCATTCCAAGTAAAACAGGAAGGCGGGACTGGCGAAATGTCAGAACAGGTGCCAGGATTAGCAGTGATCCTAGTATCGCAAATGCTGAGAAAGAAACGAGCACAATGAGGAAACCACGATTTTGTAGATGCTCTGTTGGGCTCATGACTACTCCCGGCTTCTCTAGTCGAGCGGTTTGGATGCCTTCGTTACGCACAGGACGAGAGTGTTGGAGACCCAAAGCTCTAGAAGAGGCGACGCAAGTCTGTTCAGAAAAGAACGGAAAGAATAAACTCATTAGACTGGATTCGTAACGTGACCTTTGCTGATTTATCTCGACACTAACACGATGTTCTGATAATGTATTTGCCAAAGCTTGGGCGTATCTGGGCCTCAGGTGCAGTCTCTGTCTAGTGAATGACAGCAGCAGCTCTCCAAGCGTCGCCAATGAAAGAAGAAGAAGACGAAGAAGAAGAAGACGAAGAAGAAGAAGACGGCATCTTATGCAACCCAATGCCCTGTATTTTTAATGTCCTAACTCTTGCCTACTGGTTTTCGAAACACCGATCGCTTGCAATGCTAACTTGAAGCTCTTTTGAAAGCTCTACCTCCTGCAAAAACACGGAAAGCCCAATGCTATCTCTTCTGCTTGTCTGGCGTGCTTGGTTCAGACGCCTGTCGATCGATGCCGGTGAAGCATCTCGCCAGAGAGACTTGTCCATCGCCAGTCGTTTCTACCCGTTCTGTGTATCCGACCTCTGCCCACTCATGCTCTCTAGCGGTCAGTCGTTGACTCCATGGCACGCTCTTACTCTGCAGCACAATCTGGCGTCTCCGTTCTCGCTCTTTTACTATTGCATGTAATTGACGCGAGATAGGTTGAGTCCCAACTTCGAGCAGGTACTTCAAAGCCGCGAATGGTAGAGAGAGCACGATGCTAGAGACAAGAAAATTGCGATTGCTTGCTTTGGCATGCAACTCAGAAGGGTGATCGCCGAATTGAATCCGGCTCAGACGGGACTTGAACAAGGGTGAACGGCTCTCCGCGGTCGTAGGCAACCGATCGACTTCGGCCAACGGTCTGGCAGACGGATCGAAATGCCAGAAGTCGTCAAGGTTGGATGCCATCCATTGAAGGCAACGCATTTGCAGATCCCATGCACTGCGAACCTCTGCTGTGTAAGAATTGACAGACGATATGCCTTCATCTCTAGCGCCGGGCTGATCAGAGTGTTCTGGCCGGGATTCTGTGCTCGACGATGGTGGGGTCAGGTTGAGAGCAGAAGAAGGATCGCTTTCGCGTGGCCACATTGTTGAATAGGAAGAGAGAGGAATCACTTCAACCGAGGCGCTGGTTCCACGATTGGGTCCGCTTTCCAGACCAAATGAGAGCGCGTTCTCCAGGTTCTCCCAATCAAGTATGGAATGTGCGATTTGCAGACCTTTCAAGACAACGTTCTCCAAACCTAGGACGTGGCCAGCCGCAGTAAAAGCCAGACATGCATCCATTTGGAAAGCCCACGTTCCAGCATTTGCGTCGAAAGTGCTGTGGATCATAGCGAGCGTGAACATCTCTGGGCGCTCGCCGTAGAGTACTCGAAGTGCTGAATTCATGGCCCACGGCGTTACAAAGCGATCGGTTAGTCTTATCTCTAGGCGTCTCTTCCCCTCTGCGCTCTGACCGGCTGACTTGAGTAGATCCCGTAACTTGTTGCTTTGGGCGAGCAATAGGCTACTGAGTGACCACGTTATTTTCTCAAACCGAAGATTCTCGTGTACGAGAGTCAACTGGCAGTCGGCGTACTCCTCATTGTTGAATTGTTGTAGTAGATGTTCAACCAGCGGCACGTGACTCGACATACAATCGTTTAGATTGCGCCAGGAATCTCTGAGCAGTTGGGCTGTTTTCTTTTCAACGACGTTTAATTGGACCGGCTTGGGCGTGTTGTCGACAACATCAGCCTCCCGAGCAAACTCATCCGACTTCAAGATTTCATGAGACGTTGAGGGAAAACATGATTCAGACGTTGGTTGCGGATGAAATGAGGGCATGTAACCGTAGCTGAAGGGCGTCGTCGGCGGTCCGTTGGAACAGCTCCATGGCTGGGCTGAGGGATCCAGTGGTGTCCTAGAAGGAGTGAGCGGTGGTTGACTTCCTAAGATAGGATGGGGTGACTGATTGCTGTAGTATGGCGGTTGTGGCTCATAGGTTTGTTCATAAGGAACACCGACTTGGGTACCGTGTGGAAGGTCAATGGGGTGCTGAGACGGATGAGACTGCGGAGAATATTCATAAGACGCAGGTGCGTAAGCATACCCCTGATAAATGGAGTGATCCGGAGAAGACGGGTCATCCGATGATTGAGGTGGTGCGTAGAATGAGATGTTCTGGCTAATATCATAGCCTTGATAGGGTTGTTGTATAGGAGACAGGGTATCATCAGTAGGTAGTGTAGATTCTTGTTGCAGATGGATCGACTGGGCTAGATCATACCCTTTGTAAGACGACTCTGTTGGAGAGGTGGTGACATCGGTGGGAGGGGTTGGATGAGCATGGAAGGTTGGCGCAGCAGCATTGAGGGTTACATGATTCTCAGCTGAAGACTGCTGGCTCATGTTGCTGCCATCCTCTTCCTCAACGGACTGCGAGGTCTCTTCCGAAGCGGTACCTTTCTCATTCGCGGAAGAGAAATCGGTCGAGATGGCTGGTGGCGGAGACCGCTTCGGATAGAAGGGCGGAGGCAGGCGAAACCCGTGCTTTTCTATTCCGAAGTCTTCGGCATGGACTGGGGAGAGATTGATGCCATCCGCTGCTGAGTTTGTTGACTTTTGTTCGTTTGTTCCCGGGACGAGAGTACTTTGGAATGTAGAGTCACCTCCAACAGTAGCAACCTCTTTCTCCGAGCCTGCATTTTCTGTAGCCTCAACAACAGCCTCTTGCACACCATTTCCTTGCACATCATCTTTCGTATCTAAGCCGTTGAGAGCTTCGTTCTGCACTGCTACAGCAGTCTCTTGTGACCCTTCTTTTCCTTCGCCAGGAATTGGGCGAATTGGACTGCCAACTCCTCCCCCATCTTCATTACCCTTCACATCCTGTTTGAGCTTCCGCTTCTCGAGACTTCTCGGTATAGCAGGAATAATCGGCACCATCCGCCGTGGCTGCTTGCTCGGTGTAGCACCCGGACTTAGGGTCATCTGTGGGGCAAGAGAAGGCGCCATTGCGGGCGGAGAGAGTCCCCAGAGGCAGCTGATGAGAGTCGGTAGATACTCCGAGAGGGCAGCCGCATTCTGGGGAGAAATTTAAGAGGGTAAGCAAACATGAAAGAAGAGATGCAACTCGCCTTCCGGTCAGAAGGGAAACTTTGCTAGCCCCGCATATGTCATCCCGCAACGGTTTTTTGTTTTTTGCCCGCTAGTTGCAGATTGCTACCTTCCAGGCAGGCAGCTACTCTGCTGACACAAGACACTTCTGCGATTACTCATATCTTTCTATCAGATAGACGGCGTCTACAATGGGTAATGACGGGGGCTCCATCCCTACTCGCCGCGAACTCGTCAAGTCCTCCGCCGCTGCCCTCTCGACCACCCAAGTCAAGGAAATCCAAACCGAGCAACAAGAGCACTACTGGTCTACCTGCGCCCTCTCTCACCAACCTCTACGCTGTCCTGTCGTCTCAGACGCTTTAGGCACCTTATACAACAAAGATGCCGTGCTTGATTATTTGCTAGACGTGGGGAAAGAGGGTGGAGAGGTGGAGAAGGCGGAGTTGGAGAGGAGAGGGGAGGCATTTAAGGATCGCTTGAGGGGGTTGAGGGATGTAGTTGAGGTACGGTTCCATACTGAAGGGGCGGGAGGGAGTCAGAGATGGGTTTGTCCCGTTACGGGCAAACAGTTGGGACCGGGAACGAGGGCTGTATATCTCGTGCCGTGCGGCCATGCGTTTGGGGAGACAGTCTTCAAAGAGATGCCGGGTGATGTTTGCCTACTGGTATGCTCGATCTTTAACGGAATATTGACCTATAGTACGAAAATGCTGACAAAGGGCAGTGCAACGAACCCTACACCACCGAGAATATGATACCGATCCTTCCCACCTCCGAAACAGACAAGGACCGCCTCGAACAGCGCATCGAAGCTCTGAAAGCACAAGGCCTGACACACTCACTAAAGAAAGCCCCCGGTGCCGGCAAGAAAAGGAAGAAGACAGCCTCTGTCGAAGAAGCTACCGTAGGCGAAGAACCCATCAACCCGACACAAACGAAGAGCGAGAAGCCGGAAAGCAACCTCAAGAACGCGGACACGGCATCGTTAACGGCAAAGGTGCTGGCGGAGCAGGAAGAGCGGAACAAGCGGAGGAAGCTAGGAGCGAATGACAATGTGAAGAGCTTGTTTTCGAATAAGAATGGGATGGACGAGAAACATTTGGATTTTATGACGAGAGGATTTTCCATACCTGCAAATGCGAAACGATGAGATATCCGTGGCAGCATAGTACGGCGTTGGGGAATAAGAATCTAGCTGAAGGGCGATTTGGGTTGGAAATGTGCCATCAATGTTGTGTACATATTATCGGTGATACCCTTTGCAGATTGTCTATTGTACAAATATCTCGTCTATCTTCACCTATAGCTCATCTTTAGGCCTCTCCTCCCTCTTCTCGCCCACTCCACAGA